GTTTAGTATAATGTACCTGTGCAGGTGAGTGAAGAATGCAACTGTACAGGGGAGCAAGGGCTTTAGAAATGTACCTGAATAGGTGATTAAAGGTGTTGTGAATTTGCCTCTACAGGTGAGTGAGGTGTTCGGAAATATACCTTCATGTTTATTTGAGAGAGTGTTATACATAAACCGGTAAGTGAATGGATTATGAATGAGTTTGTGCAGGTGAGCGAAGAAGTTGGCAATGTGTCTGTACATTTGTGTAAAGGTTTTGTGAATTGAACTGTACTTAAGGATTGGGAATTAAAGTGTTGATTTGATTTCATTTGATTTATTGTCAACAGTACTTAAGTGCAGTGCAAAGCATCGTATGCAAGCAGTTCAGCAGATCATGGTAAACAAGGCCATACAGATTATATGGTGAAAAATAAAAGACTTTGACAGAGGCATACAAGTTACACCGCACAGGGCGATGCTAGGCAAGATCAACATTACAACGTTCAGCATTATTGAAAGTTAGAGAGTCCATTCATCAGTCTAATAACGGCAGGGAAGAAGCCGTTCTTTAACCGGCTCTTGCGTATATTCAAGCTTCTATACCTTCTGCCTGATCAAATAGGTTGTAAGCGAGTATTATCGGGGTGAGATAGGTCTTTATGATGTTGACAGCCTTTCCACGACAGCGAGAAGTGAAAATGGAGTCCATGGATGGGAGGGTGGCTTCTGTGATGGTCTGGCCTGTGCACACAACCTCCTGTAGTTTCTTACGGTACTGGGCAGAGCAGTTGTCATACCAGGCCGTTATGCACCTGGACAATATGTTTTCTATGGCAATAGAAAGTTGGTGAGTCTCGTTATGGACATACCAAATTTCCTGAGTCACTTGAAGAAAAATAGGCGGTGTTGTGCCTTCCTGACTGTCACATCTATGTGGAAGGTCCAGGACAGGTTGTCAGTTAACGTCATTCCGAGGTACTTGAATCTCTCAAACATCTTAACCTCTGCTCCGTTGACTTTTTGGGGACATGTTCTCCTCCTTTCTTTCTGAAGTCAATGATCTTTAGTTTTGCCAATGTCAAGAGAGATGTTTGTTATCATTGCACCACGTCACCAAGCCCTCCATCTCTTTTCTGCATTCTGACTCATCATTGTTTGCTATCCGTTCTAACATGGTGGTGTCATCAACAAATTTGTAGGCGGTGTTCGTTCGGAATTTGGCAACATGGTCGTTGGTGTACAGGGAGTACAGTAGGGGGACTGAGGCATCCTTGGGAGGTTCCAGTGTTGACTGTTACTGTGCAAGAGGTTCAGTTGTCTATATTCACTTGTTGTGATGTTTGGGTCAGAAAACTGTAGATCCAGTTCAGTGGACGGAGCTGAAACCTCGGTCCCAGACTTTTGAGATGAGTCTGGAGGAGATTTTGGTGTTGAATGCAGAGTAGTCGATGAGCAAGGGTGTGACAGAGGTGTCGTTGCTACCCAGCTGTTCCAGGAATGTGTGCAGGGCTAGGGGAATGGCGTCCACTGTGGACCTGTTACATTGGTAGGCAAATTGTAGGGGATCGAGACAGGCTGGGAGACTGGAGTTGATGTGGGTCATGACAAGCCTCTTGAAGCACTTCATGATTATGCAGGTCACAGCCACTGGGCACTTGTCGTAAAGGCACATTTCACATGCTTTCCTACGTACTGGGATGATGGTGATCTTCTTGAAGCAGGTGGGTATTTCAGCTCGTGGGTTGGTGCAATTGAAGATTTCAGTGAATACATCTGCTATGTCGTCCACACAGGATCTAAGGGGTCAGCTGAAGCCTGTTGATTTCCTTGGACTGACTCCCGTGAAGACTGATCTGACGTCTGCATTAGTGACAGTGGGCACAGGTCATCCAGAGCTATCGGGGCAGATAACACCACACTGCTGGCATTCTGCTGGAATCGAGCATAGAAAGAACTGAGCATAGCAGGGAGGGACGTGTCTCTATCTGCCATCGTGCTCTGCTTTATTTTGTATCACATTATATTCCTTAAGCTTTGCCACAAGCGGCAGAAGTCTGCTTGGTTAGTTTGGGCCTCTAACTTGGTCCGGTACTGCTTCTTGGCATCCCTGATAAATTTGCAGTGGTCATTTCTGGAGTTTCTGTATGCATCTGGGTCGTCTGACTTGAATGTTGCACGCCTGGACTTCAGTTGGTAATGGATTTCCTGGTTCAACCAATGTTGGGGAACACCCGGATTGACTTCTTTGGTACACAGCCCGCTATGCATTTGCGAATGAAGTCCATTTCGTTGGTAACATACTCATCTAGGTTTTCTGCTAAGAACATAAATACAGCCCAGCCCATCGATTCCAAATAGTCCCAGCGGCGGTCTACTGCTGCATCGGACCAGCACTGTGCTTCTTTTTGTGAAGGGTCCTTCCGTTTCAGCTTCTGTTTGTAAGCTTGGAGGAGGAACACAGCGATGTGATGTGATTTTCCAAATTGTTAATGTGGAATGGAGCGGGAGGCCTCTTTGATGGCTGAATATCAGTGGTCCAGAATGTTTGGTCCTCTAGTGGGCCAGGAGATGTGTTGGCAGCACCGTCTTGAGGTTGGCTTGGTTGAAGTTGCCGGCCAAGATGAAGATGGCCTTGGGGAATTTCATCTCCAGAGTGCTGTGGCGGTGTAAATTTCTTCAAAGCCACATGGAGTGATATATAGACTGCTATCAGAATGGCAGAGGTGAACTCACAAGGCAGAGAGTAGGGATGGCTTTGAACTGCAAGGTATTCTAGGTCCAGGGCACAATGACTTGCCAGGGTTGCTACATCCAAGCATCAGCAGGTGTTGATAAGGAAATATATCCCACCTCCCTTTGCCTTATATGAGGACGCCGTACAGTTCATACAATGTATGAAGAATCCCCCAGATTGCAGGGCACAGTCAGGTGTGGCAAGAGTGAGCCAAGTTTCCGTGAAACAGGCCACTCTCTCAGTTGCCTCATGAAGAAAAGTCTAGATATGAGTTCAACCAGGTGAGTGAGAAGAATGGGAATGCACCTATATCGACCAGTGATGAGTCTGGGAATGTATCTGTACAGATGAGAAAGGGTGTTGGAAATACACCTGTATATATAGGTGAAAGCATCATGAATGTGCGTGTACAAGTGAGTGAAAAGGTTGTGAATATACCTGTACAGGAGACTGAGGGATTGGAAATATACTTCAACATGTCAGTCAATGCATCGTGAATGTATTTGTTCAAGTGAGTGGGGGATTTGAGAATGAATCTGAGCAGGTGAGTGAAGGTGTTGTGAATATAACTGTACAGGTTAATATGAGGATTAGCAATGTACCTGCACATCTGGGTGAGACGTTTCGGAATGTACCTATTCAGGTGAGTAAGAGAGTTCGGAATGCACCTGTACAGGTGAGTGTGGTGGTTGAGAATGTATCTGTGCAGGTGAGAAATGGGGGTTAGGAATGGACCTGTGCAGGTGTTAGAGGGTGTTGGGAATAATCCTGTACTGGTGAATGAGGCAGATGGGAATGTACTGATCAGGTGAGTGCATGAATGAGAATGTACCTTAACTGGGAAGTAAAGGTGTTGTGAATGTGCTTATTCAAGTCAGTGAATGCATTTTGAATGGACATGTACAATACGTGAGGGAGTTGGAAATGTACCTGCACAGGTGACTGATGGAGTTGCGAATGCGCCTGTAGAGGTCAGTCAGGGATGTTAAGATTTAACTGGACGCAACGGTGAGGGGTCTGGAGATGAATCTGTACAAGTGAGTTAAAGGTTTGGAAAAATATCTGTACAGGTGAGTAAGGAGGTTATGAATGTGCCAGTACAGGTGAATGAAGGGCTTTTGAACCTACCTGTACATGAGAGTGGTGGAGCTGAGTTTTTTTCCAGGTGCCCAAATGGGTTGGAATGCTCTAGAATTGAAAGTTTAATACTTGGTCGTCATTACTCTAGGAAGTTAAGGTGTTAAATCTTCTACTCCAGGCTGAACATTCCCAAGAGAATTGTGACGGCTGGGCTGATAATTCACCAAAACATATTGGACATTTGTTTAAAAGAAAAAGCACAAAGGAAACTTTATTCGCTCACCACAGCAGTGACAATTATTTCTCCCTCTCAGCTCTGAGTTTCAGGAGCACAAAATCTTTCTGATGGATCCACCACTTGCGCTGAGTGAGAATTTTCAATCGCCCAATGCTAATTTGGAAAATACATGTTCCCAAAAGTGCGTGAGCGGTTCAATAAATTAAAACTGTGATCAAGGAAAAAAGAATGTGTTTTGAAAAATACTCAAAGCAATTTGAATCTGCATGCATTGATACGTTTTTTTTTCTTTTGACCAGAAGCTCACTCAAGGCACTGTTTGGTTTGATTTATTATTATCACATACACCGAGATACAGTGAAAAGTATTGCTTGCGTGCTATCCAGGCAAATCATACCTTACATTAGCACATCAGAATAAGACAACAGAATGCAGAATATAGTGTAATAGCAACAGAGAACGTGCAGAGAAAGAACAACTTCAAATTATGAGAAGTTTGTTCAAAACTCATATAACAGCGGGGAAGAAGCTGTTCTTAAATTTGTTGGTAAGTGTTTTCAAATTTCTGCATCTTCTGACCAGTGGAAGAGGGTGGAATAGAGTCGAAAGAGTGCTGTCAAAAACTGAGTCCTGAGAATAGTGCGGACGGCATGGGTTGTGCTGGTGGACTGTCATTGACTCGAGAGCCCTTACCAACCGCTGAGAGTGAAAAGATGTGTTGAATTCTATTTCTCTGTGCTCCCCATTCTCTGATTCTTTACCTGGTCACAGGAAACATACAATGAGCAACTTCCGGTCAAGGTGGAGGCAGAGTAGGAGTTCCTGCACTCCTGTTTATTTCTCGTTTCCTTCTGTTCCTTTCCCTTTTCTCTCCTTTTTCGTGTTTTCCCCTCTTTTGGTGTTCGCCTCCCCAGTGGCAGGTCATTGCTGGTCTCGGGGGCTCGCGGTGAGTCACGGCTTGGTCTCTCAGCGGCTCGTGGCAGGTCCCAGTTTGGTCTTGGTGGCTCTTATCGTGGTATCTCGGCGATTCATGGCGAAGTCTCGGCTCGGCTTTTGAGAGGATCCGGCCCGGGCATGTTCCTGGAGCACCGGGGAGTTTGAGGAGGCAGTAGCTTCCGCAAAAACGGCCATGTCTGCGGAAGCGTCATCAGGAACAACAGTAGAGATCGTCTGGAAACAGAGACAAGTGGAGGTCTCATCAAAGGCTGTCGAAGTTTTAACGTTTTCCTTTATTTTCCTAGCTTAAACGGCGAAAGACATTAATGTTAACTATTACATCATTTTTTTCAACCATTCTATGAAATAATGCTAAACATTTTAACTCTCGTTTCTCTTAATACTTGTCTCATCAGTTTTGTTTGCACCGAGGCATCTTGGTAACTAAGAGGGCACTACGTGCGGCGACGTTTTACAATTTTCACCGTCCTCCTGTATTTCTGTAGCTGAGTACAAGTGACAATTAAATCTAAATAATAATACGAATACAATCGTCTGGCCCCATCTGTTGGTGGAGAATGCGAAATGAACTCCACTGGGATTGGATGCAGGTTTTTGTAGCGACCAAGACACGTCCTCAAACGTTGTGCTGCTACACGCGCAATAATAGACAGCCGCGTGAGATGGAGAGGCGTCTCTCAGTTCCAAACTAAACTGCGTTTCACTGGCTCTTTCAGCCTGGTAAGGCTCGGATGTGTAATTTGTAACAGCTCCTGTTCTAGCAGAGTAGAATAAAGCTTCTATGGCCTGTTCTGGTTTCTGTCTGTACCAGTACATAGATCTGTAATCGGTATTCTTCAGCATGCATTTGATTGTTACCAAGTCCCCTTCTGTAACCGAAACGGTGGATGGAGACTGCTCCACGTAGGAGGCCAGATTCCCTGTCGAATATAAATAGGACTTGATTCAAACTTCTGACAAGAATTCATCAGGACATCTAAACAGAGAATTTCCAATCCCATAAAACCTGTCACAATAAAAGAAAAATTTAAAGCACATTTCAAGCATTTTGTATTCGTTTTACGTAATTGCCAGGTTACTGTAAAAATTCATGCCAACGGTTTTGAGCAAAGCCAGATCCAATCACAGCAATGCTTAATGACAAGCACATAGGTTCTTCTTAAAACGTTGTTCCAGGTTGAAATTTTGGAGCAGCACCTGCTTTTGCCCAAAGAGGCCTTCGTATTCTTTCTGTCGGATTGAACGGCACAGTTTTGTTTAACATTATGTGTTCACAATGAATCTTGTAAATGTATAGTTTTCTGTCGGTAATGACGCGGGTAATGTCAGCCTTGATTTCCAGCTGCAGGACCTGGATTGACAATCGGTCCTATGACTTTCAAAAACAGACCAGCGAGTGTTACCGAGTGAACTATAGCACATTCGACAATACATTGTTCCATTCTCGATGTGACTTTAACTAACCTGTGAACAGTAGAACTACGCAGATGAGCCAACAGACTTCGTACAACATGATTCTGTCATTTAACACCATCTCCTTCTGTTTGCAGAGTGCAGTCCAATGACACCTGTGAAGGCACCTTATTTGCTGTATCTGATTAAATACACCACATCCGGTTGTTGTCTCTTATTCAAGGTAATTTGCTGTGAAACTTAAACCCCAGTTCACTATATTTCTCAAAGACTCATTGGATGATAGATGATTGGGCGGAGTTTATAGCAGAGCTCTAATTCCAAGAGGATTTGCAGTCTGGAAAGAAAAGAGAAGGCTTAAATTGAGTTGTCAGTAAGAAAATTCTGACATTGAAGATGACGCAAGATAAGCTGTTTAAAGTGTAAACTGTGTAAGAAGAGAGATTTTTATCCATTGAAATATTCAGATCTGAAGCGCGTGGTCTGAAAGTGTGGTCTGACCGGAAAGTCAACAAATTTCAAAACAGATTTTGATGAACGTGTGAAACAAGAAATGACAGGAATGAGGGAGAATGCATGTGGTGAGAAATGAAATGAATACCGTGATAAAGTCTAGGGACAATGAATACGTACCAAAACTGATAAAGCAGATAGTTAAGGGAGAAACAATCTTTGACAAGAGGTTGGTGAGCACTTCTTTAATTCTTTCTTGGGGTGTGGGTGTCCTGGCTCAGCTGGCATTTATTGCACATCCGGATTTTGTTATTTTTATTAAATCACAGGCTGAGGGCATCGCCAGCTCAGCAGGATTTATCACTGGTCTCTAATTTTCTGGAGGCCTTTCAGAGGAAATTATTTTGCAATAGGTCCAAAGTCACATGGAAGCCAGACGAAGCAATGACATTTGTGAAACAGCTGGGTTATTCAAAAAATAGACAATTGCTTCATGGTCATCCTTAGACCCCTAATTCCAGATTCCTATTCATTGAACTCGAATTATAACATCTGCTGTGGGAGGATTGAACCAGAGTGCAGAAACATCTCTGCTTCTCCCAGAACAGTCCAGCGGTAATACCATGAGGCTATCTCCTGTCATTTCCCTTGAGAAGGAGGTGGTGAGATGTTGCTCATGTCACTTTATTGGCTGCTGCATCCAGGAGACCAGCGGATGGAAAATTTCTCGAGAGAGTTGATTCCAAACTAAAAGGAAAGAATCACAATGGAGGATGTCCGTGGACGCACTGTTTGGTGAGACAGATCTGCAGGAAAGATGAGATGCTCTGCTATTCTGGGTACAGAACATGTATTAGATGACAGATTGTGGCGTATCTGGATGATCTGCAGATCTTGAGAGTAATACGAGAGGCCAGAACATAGGAAACTGATTTCAGTCAGACAAGGGATGGTCATCAAAGACACAGATTTCAACTAATTTGAAAAGTAATTAGATAGTGGGGGGAAGTCATGTGATTCTCAGGAGTTACATCAGGAATAGGCTGGGAATTTTCTTTGTGAACAACAATTTGTAATGAACTTTTAAACATTGCTGACAGAGTTAAAGTCTTGGAAGAAGGTATAGTGATAATGTTAGAAAGGTGTATGAGGAAACATGTGAAGGGAAACGATTCAGTGAATCGTAGGTCAAGAACAAAGGGAGATTGAGATCAACAGAATAGTTTTCCGAAATATCTGGGAAAGAAAAATTGGCGTAAATTCCATTTTGTGTACTTCCTTTTCTCTAATTATTAACCTGGTGATAGAAAAAGTGCCATGAACATCAATCGCCTGCCCTCACCTGCAGGTGGGAAATGCGTCCTTCAGCGTGCATCTGCGTGTAGACGAATGTCCTCCTGAAATCGACACAATGGATGGAGACTGCTCCACGTAGAAGGCCAGAATTCCTGTCGAATGTAACGTGGAACGGATTCAAATTTATAGCAATAATTAAGACAACAGCTGGCTATAAATGGAGTAAATCCAGTAATATAAAACCTGACAATGCGTGGTTCCATTTCACTGTCATTTTGACTAACCTGGGACAGTCAAACATCTAAATGAGATAACAGACTTTATGCAGCACGATCCTCTCATATATTGCTGGTTCCACTGTGATCTGAGTGAAGTCCAATGACACCTCTGAAGGAAGTTTCGCTTCCCCTTTTGATTAAATACATCATATTCAATTGCCACCTCTTCACCCCGACACCATTTGCTGTGAAAACTTAGCTCCATCTCGTTATATTTCTTATTGATTCATTAGATGGATAGATGGCAGGGTGATATCAGTATAAGAGCTCAGACTTCATGAGTGATTGGATAATGTGGATAAGAAAAAAGACAATTCTTCTATTCGGTTGCCACGAACGACAGTGTAGACATTGAATTTGAGCAAGAGAATTGGCCTAAAGTGAAAATTGGAGATAAAGAGACATTTTTATACATCAGATGTTCCGATCTGAAATGCATTATCCGAAAATGCTGTCTGAGCAGAATCAATATAATTTTCAAAACAGACTTGGATAAATACCAGCAACAACAAACG